GATTCTGATCCATAATATCACATCTTGCATTATCAAAATGTAATGGCCTTATATAGCAGAAACGACGTGTGGATGTGCAAGATATTCTCCCCTACCTTCGAAGGACTTGCTATGAGATGGTCCTCTGAATTGCCAGCCCATTCCATTTAACAATTTTGAATACCTTGCTGACATTTTTACAGCACCCACTATGTGTTTCGTGATGTTCGCAAACGTCGCGAAGCTATTTTTTGCATGACTGCTCAAACTAAGAACGAGAGTCTTTAGAGCTTACTTGTAGAGATTCCATGTAAAATTGGCAAAGATTGAAAAGCCAAATACTAAGCTCGCCACAATGGCATTCAAACAAGGACTCTATGTTTATTTACCTTTCGTCCATAAATTGAATAAAAATAAGTACGACTATGCCACTTTGGTGTTTGATATCGCTGATGAAATCACTGATTGGGATTATAGAACTCGGAACACGACCTTGAACAATACAATCAACAATGTCCTTCATAGCATCAAGGACAAACCTCTCCTTAAAAGGCCTAAACCCTCTTCCTGACCATCTAGCCAAGAAAAAGCCAAACGAGTACTGCTACTTCCACTAGTGCATTAGTCACACCACTTGGAACTGTCATACGCTCAGGGATCATATCGAGGATCTATTCGATCAGAGGCATTACTGGGAGTTTGTCAAGAGCAAATCCAAGAAAGAGGAGCCCGTTGAGAAGAAGAATCAAGGTAAGTTTGATCAGTATGAGCTCACAGATGATGAGGAAGATCGACGGCAAAGAAGCCCATCCTTAGCATAAATTGCATCTAAGGAGGACATGAGGCGCATGAACACAAAAAGGATAGGAAGGAAACTCCAATCACTATGAGGTGGAACATCCTCAAGCATAACCAATATCACTGAAGGCCCTCTAACGAACTACAAGTGGTTTGATTCTTCCTCGACAATGAGAAGATATATAGGTCGTCCATCACGGATCCAACCACAATTAATGTCAACGTTGTTTGCTACGCGTAGACTAGGAGAAATATCTCAAAAACCTGCCTGTGGCATCTTCGTCAAAGATGAACCCCAATATAAAAACGTGTTGTCTCATTTTCTTGAGATATGTAAGCAATCCAATTCGGATTCAATCACACCCTTGCATCAAACCCTCATTCTTTTATAATAAGAATTCAGTTTGAACAGCGGCAACTTTTGTTTGTTAGTAATTTCTATTTTCTTTTATGCGATATAGGGCCTCCGTTTTAGCCCATTTCACCTTAACCCATTGGATTTTCACTTAGAGTGGGCTGCAGATCAGTATCAATATTGGGCCTGTAAGCCCATATTAACCTCATCGCTTCATCAGAAGAAAACACAGAAACAAAAAGTACTCTATTAGCTCACCACCTCCGTCGTCTGTAAATTCGACTCTCTTTCCCTCCCTCCCTCCCTCTCCGAACAGAAAAATGGGTAAAGATCGAAACGGCAACGTTTCAGATAGACGAAGCAGAAGCGCGGAGAAAGAGGATAGACGAAGCAGAAGTTCCGAGAAAGAGGAAGAAAACAAGAGAAAATCCGAGAAAACGAGCGAAATTTTGGATTCTGAGTCCGAAGAAGAAGACAGGAAATGCAGTAAATCTAGAAGAAAAGAGCGGGAAATCTCCGATTCCGGCGATGAAAAGCACGTGAAAAGGGATAGACGACGGAGGAGATCCCGAAGGCGGTACCGTAGCGAGGAGGATACGGATTCGGAGTCCGAGTCGGAATCGGAGGAGAGCGGGTCGGATTCGGAGTCGGAGAGTGAGAGCGAGAGTGACGGGAGGAGGAAAAGGAGGAAGAGGAGAGAGAAAGACGAGGACAGAGAAAGGAAGAGGAGGAAGAGAGAGAAGGGAAGGAAGAGGAGGAGGAGAGAGAGGGAGGAAGAGAAGAAGAAGAAGGAGAAGAGAAAGAAGAAGAGGAAGGAGAAGAAGGAGAAGGAAAGGTAGGAGCGGTGACGAATTCGTGGGGAAAGTATGGGATCATCAGAGAAACTGATATGTGGTATGTTTGCTGAATATTCTACGGTTATAGGGTCTTAACTTTCTGTTTGGCTGCTGAGAAAATGTAGGAAAAAGAAATTTACTTTTCCCTTTCGAATTTGATGATTACTGTTGTGTGTAGGAGCAAACGACCAGAGTTCACAGCATGGTTACAGGAAGTAAAACAGGTAATTCATTGTTTCCAACTATTTTACCACCCCATGAAACCATTCGTTTGCAGGATGTTTTATTTCATTCGTAAAGTTTCAAAGATTGTAGAGTTTTCCTTTTGATTTGTATGTGTTTCGAAGCCATGTGTTGATCCATTTCCGAGTTGCCTTCGTTGATAGTATAGTTTTAATGGTAATTGTTTTATCTTTCATTAGGTGAACCTGGAACATCTGGCAAATTGGGAAGAGAAGCAGATGTTCAAACAGTAAGTGTGTGTGTGTGTGTGTTTTGAGTTTGCATTTATTTTCTATCTTATTTTGGCATCACGTTTGGTTTATTTTCACTGACACCATCTATATGATGAAGATCACAAGAACTTGTTAGCATTTTTCTTTTAATTTTCGAATTGTACAATCTCAGTAGAAATTTGTTTTCCTGTAATAGGTTCATGGAAGATCACAATACAGCTACCTTCCCTTCGAAAAAGTAAGCTTCTACTCTATTATCTTGGTGCACTTCAATTTACTTGTCCGAAAAGAAAAAGTTATAAACCTTTGTCCTTGTCATTGTAATGTAAGAGGTTGCGGTGCTCACCTTTTAGGGGGAAAGTTAGATTTGCATTTTTCTTTTTGTAGATTTTGTATCTTAATATACATAAGCACCTAAATTAGGCTGGGCCTAATAAAATGAGACACTACTTTATGTCGATTGGTCGCGATCTATTTTTGAACCTGAGGTTGTGGTGTTCACACTTTTCCTTTAGGTATTGAGGATTTAGAGGTGAATGAAATCTGTGTTTGGTCTATTTAGTGAAATATACTTCTTGATTTGCTTTATTCTTTCAATTGTTGTTATCATAACTATGTGTGACCCCTCATTGTCGATAACCAAACCAAACAATCTAACATGTTGTGGTGCCAGATTGGAATCAGTGATTAGTTGACCTCGTGTCTCAATGTATGATTTTGGTTCACAATTTGACAACAGAATGTTCCAGACTTCAGTTAAATCGAGATGAAAAAATGGAGAGATAAGATTTGAATTAAAATGGGTTGTGTGCTTTTAATTTTACTTGTCTAACTTAGTGGGATAAGGCATTGTTGGTGGTGGTGGTGGGAATGGTTTTGTAAGGAGGAGATTGGATGTATGTGCTCACCTTTCTTTTTCCTTTACTTGTTAGTCATCTTTGCTAGAAATTCTGTGAAGGTGCATGCCCGTATACAAAATTGTGTACAATGTAATACCACAGAATGAAAAGTAATTACTTTAACCTTTGTGGTTGCAGGTACTACAGCCTCGATAATTACTACAGGCATAAAATGGAGAAGGAAATTAAAAGAGGTTTTAAGAAGGCTACGCCAACAGAACGTATTGTATTCAATGACGAAGAACAGAAACGGTATGTTTTATTGCTATTTCATTGTAAGACTAGTTTTAGCAACCTTCAATTTCAATACATTCATATAGTTTTCGTTAGAATAGCAAAGGTTTCAATCACTCACTTATACTGTGGCTTTCACATTTTGTCTAGTAACTTTATTTTGTACTATAGGACAATTAATAATTCACGTAGCTGTACTTAATAATAGGGTGGTGCTATCCACACACCCTCTTAATTTCCGGCCGTCAAATTGAATGAATTAAAGATGATCAAAGGACGTAAATTAACAAGGGGTGTGCGGAAGGTAAAAAGAGGTGTGTGAATAGCACCACCATAATAATATTTTGGCAAAAAAAGCAAAAACAAAAGGAACTTTACAGCCTTTATTATAGACAATGTAAAGGGATAGCAAAAGGTACTTGTAAGTAAATTTGTGTTAGAAAGTTTATTTTGGGATTTGCATGCAAAGAAAAAAATGTTCAGGCAACTGTTTATCGATACAGGATGGGAGAAACATAATATACCGTTTTGGATCTGTAGGACCAAATTTACATTCTTGGGTTTGGTTAATAATATTATATTATTCATTGCTATTCAGGCAAGAAATGATGCGAGTGCGTGAAAAGCAAAAGGAAGAAGAAGTAGAGGCTCTGAAGCGCTCAATGCAGAGTGGACTGGTATGTTTCTGTTTCATCACTCTTATAACGTTCAACTTGTTTATTGTACCTAAAATCCATCCCAAGTCGAAGGACACTTTGTCACTCTTCAAGTATTTCAATTTTCAGGCACAAGCAATGAAAGAGCAAGCTCAACTAAGGGAAGAGATGGCTTACCAGTACAAGATTGGAAACATGGAGGTGAGGATAAGTAACTGAGCGGTCTTGATGTAATTCTTAAAGTCATTTCTCGCTTTTTGTTTATGGTATTACCTCTTATTTTCAGGCTGCCGCTGCTATTCAGAGAAGGTTGGACCCTGATGCTGCTGTGTGAAAAAGGTTCACTGTGATTTCAAGAGTTTAATTCCGTCAGGTTTCTACCATAAAAAAGAAACTTACATGCATAGATTCATAGCTAGACTGAACTGTTAAGGTACCCTCTGTATCTGGTGCCCACTTTAGCCTGGTTGTCATACATTCTAGGATGTAATATTTGGTGACCGTCGTTCTCCTCAGCGGTTTAGCCATTTTTGAAGATGCATAGTAAAGGATGTATGTTGTTTACTGTTTTTCTTAGCACATTGATCATCATGAAAGTCACCCATCTCCTTTGTGCTTTTGAGAAACACAGATATTATTAAGAGACCTTGTATGCGGGATCCATGTGTATGTGAGAGGTGGTTTCGTGTGTCTAGGTAGCATTACTGAATGAATAATAACGACTCTCTCAGAAAGGAACAAATGTTAAATTTCAGATGCCTCAAAATATTAGGCTGTAAAAGACTTAGAGCCAAACTCGGTGCAAGCTCGAGCTGTTTCGGACCGATTTACACCCTACATGTAAGGCTAAAATGAGAGGAAACATACTCGGAAATTGCAGAGTCGACAGATGAGCATGAATTTGAAAGATAATTTAATCTTTCAATTTTCCGTTTTTGTAGTTGAGATCATCTCCACCTGACATGCTTCTGAAGCTCTCGGATATTCCAACACTTGATTTCTGAACCTCATCTCGGCATCTGGTGTTACTTCTTGGACATGGATTCTCATTTTTTGCAAAACTTCGGCATGAGCTAAAAGGAACTCTACCACTGTCAACTCGTACAACGCCCCTTCGAACCCTAAAATCTCAATTTCTTGAAGGCAGAGCCCCAAGCATTCCGGCGTGGATCCTTCTGGCATTTTGTACAACAATCTTCTGAAGGCAAAGTCTCTCTTTAATCTCCAGTCGATTCTCAAGATAAGGTACTGCAGTTTAGGAGAGCTATGTAGAAGCAACGCCAATAAGTTCCAGCTCTCACAAGTACAGAAAACGAGTTCCAAACACGCAAGGAAAGGAAACCTTACCGCGAAATTTCTCAACCGGATCTGCAGTGCAATTTCTTCTACGTTGTCCCGAGTCTCGTAGGAATAGCCGACGGCCTTGACATGCAAAACATTCACAGGCAAAAAACATGGTTAGTTTCTATACGCTGCATATGTAGTACTTTAACTCAAATGGTGAATGAAACGTAGTTATGACTTAGTTCTGGTAATTTGGACCTCATATTCAGCCAAGAATCAATCTAATTGAATGTGAATAATATAAAGTTAACGGAAACCATAGAAACTTACCCCTGTAGTACCTCCGGACAACGATAAGGACTTGACGTTTGAGAGTGCTTCAAGAAGCTCGAATGCACGATTTGAGTGGTTGACCTCGAAATAAAGCTCAAGTTTACCGTAATCTGCTGAAGGGTCTCCTACACAAATCTTCGCATAATCGAGAACCTTCAAACCCACAGTGATTCTATACTTGGCCAAGAAGTCATCGCAGAGCTCAAGGTTCTTGAGGTTCGGGCAATCAACCGCAAAGCTATAGTCGATATCAGCATTGAAATTATGCACCAGACATTCAATCTTCAACCACTTGAGGGTATTCGATTTCACCTTTAAAACCAATTCCCTTTTCTTGTTCAGTATGTCACCCTCTATGAACAAATCTTCAAGCACACGGCAGATGTGGAGAAGCTTCTCCGTAAAACTAATACCATCTTCGCTATAAAACCTTATCCAGAGAACCTTGAGGCTCGGAAAACACACGCAATCCGGAGGAAAATCCAGCCGTATGTTCCCATTTAGTTTTAGTACGAGAAGTGAAGTGCTGACAGACAAAATTTGAGGCAGTTCAATCGGGTTTTCCGTGTAAGAAATCCTGATCTCGACCTCAACTGTATTGGATGTGCATGCACGAAGCAACCAAGAATTTATACAATTCAAATTCTTATGGTCGGAGCAAAAGAATGCGAGTTTTCGTAAGCATGGCAAATTGATGAGGCGGAGCACGTTGATAACGAAGGTGGCGAATAGGGAAGCGTAGTCGGACATGGTTTTGGAGCTTTCGCGGAGAAGCAGTAACCGGTCATCAAGCTCTAGGTTTGTGAAGGAAGCAGAAGTCCATAGGTTTTTCCGGCATGTGTAATTGGCAAGAATGTGAGAATATGGCAGCAAATATCCTCCGGTAATCTGGTGATCATGTCTTCTTCTCCTCCTTTTTCTTCTCGTCTCGCTTTCTTTTTCAGTGGCTCAGAAATTTGAGTTCTTGGGGTTGTTCTCCGACGAATCATGGAAAATAGTTATAGGGTTTGGTCGAGAATTGGAAGTTTGAGGATATTGGGGAACAAATCCAACTAAAACTCGAAAATCAACGGAAATTCGAAGCAAGCTGATAACTTATCTTCGACGTTTTTTTATGCCAGAATTTCTGGAGAATCCCCCTAGGCTTGAAACTGATCAGTGCTCTTTACAGCGCCGCCGCCGCGCCAAAACCCTACAAAACAGATGGAGAAAAGAAAACCAGAGGCTTGCGGGCGGCGTGCCTATGGAAACTAAATTCCGGCCTATTTATAGTGGAGGGGGGAGTTCCTTTCCCAGTAGGAACCGCGGAGTTGAAACTTAAATAGCAAGTAATTACCTTTTAAGAGACTTTCTGGTGCAATTCGTTTCTTGCGTATCAAGGAACTCAGAATATTCCACATTATTTTAAGAGACTTACATTACAATCTGTAACCCATTACATTAAAAATAAAAATTAAGATTTGATTAAGTCAAGGGTAGCTCGTCTCGTACTTATTATCTCTCTCATATTCACGAATATCCAGTTTCGTGACTTCTCTCCATCCAAGTTAATATTATGGCGTCTTACTTAATAGGAAAAGGGTGTTCGAGGGCTGACAATATTATGGCATAGGTTATAGATTGTAATGTGAGATTCGTATACATAACATTTGCATGTTATCGTGCGAATGAATAATTTATCAATTGAAAGAAATTGACGTCGTTTATTGAAGAACGGAAAAAGTTTCACCTCTTCAAATTTTTATTTTCTTTTTATCTAAATGATATTGAGAAAGGTAAACAAATTTACTGATGCCAAAATTAAATTCTCTTAATCATTTAAATTACAAGCTCGTTACGATTACTATCTTATTGATAAATAATGACTCATTATTGATAAATAGAGACTCACAAACATAAAAGTATTTCATTTCAAATAAAATAATTTAATTACCACTCAGTACGTCTATTGTGAGAGTAATGTCACCTCCTCACCTTTAGTGTAGATAATATTATTTGTTAAAACAAAAAAAAAATCGTATTGGGGAATGTTGAAAGCTGGAAAGAGAAGATAGGGTTAAAGTAAAGGCTCCATGCTCATTTGGATATGGATATGAGACAGGGACCAAATCCAACGGCTGGCAGAGTGAGAACAAGAACATAGCTGAGCACTGCAATCGCACACTAACATGTCCTTGTCAGTGTCTCTGTCACAGAGTGTGTCTTTATTATCCGCTAAGCGGCAGAATTACTGGATTTAAATATAATCAAAATTCTAATTAGATTCTTTATTAACCTCTGTTAATTAATGAAACATTCTTTATCAATTAAAAGAAGGTAAAATGATAACTTAGTCTTCTATCACACACAAAAAATAATGGACAATAACGTAATTTCATAGGTCTAAATTTTACTATTTTTTATTGAAGTCTCACCTATAGGTGATGTTAAAATATCTTTAATATTTAAAATTTAAAAAAAAAAAAAAAACAAAAACCTCTCTCTCTCTCTTTCTCTCTCTCTTTCTTATTTTCTAAAAAAATGTGTTCATAGATATACAGTATAAGCAAATGTTAGTACTTAATTAATAATATATTAATGTAGACACCCATGCTGGCTTGTTTTGTGCAGCGGCTAGGACTCTGAGTTGCTTTACTTTTAATGGCTCATTTGGTCCTTTCACACACTAATTTATTATGCAATTTTTTCTTATGATAATTATTATTAGTACTCAAAAAATCTCATTTAACATTCTAAACTTTATATAATTAGAAAGAAAAATACACTTATGAGGAGTGTAGAATGAAATTTTTGAAATGCTAATAACAATTCCTTTTCTTGTTTTGCTTTTTTGTTTTCTGGATCAATGAAGTTTTCCTTATATAGAAGACAATTGACATATTACAAAAAAAAAAAAAAAAAAAAACAATAACCTAACCCGATTAGTCTAATGTCGCATATGAACAGTCAGAGAATATTGTCTTCATTAAATTCTTTTTGTAATATACACAAAATATAAGAAAATTAAGGAAGTAATTTACACACACATTTTTATTTTCATGTACACACCCTAATTTATTTGTAATCGTTAGATTAAATTAATCAAAAGAGAATCAGCAAAACTAAATAAATATAGGTGTGCAAGAGAAAAAAGATGTGTGAAAATTATTTTCCCAAATTATATTTTACTACAATACAACCATATATAATAGAATAAAAACTTATTATTATCACAGTACAAACTTATTTATATACAGCATTCACATCTGCACCGAAATTCTAAATTTCATTGCCTCTCATTTGACATGTCTAAATAGAAGAAAAGAAAAAGACAACAGTAATTTAGTAGCCAATGAGCCATAGTATAAGAGCAACTCCACCCCTATCCACTTTGCGTCAGCACCCAGCCCATTTATCCACTTAATTGAACAGTAACAGACTCAATGAACAGTAATAGGCCAAAGCATCTCCACCCCAAAAAAAAATGTGCTGGCACCTAGTCTAAAAATGCGCTGGCACAAACGATCTCCACCCCTACAAAATGCGCTGGCGCCCAGTCCATTTAAAATATTAAATAATTTTTTTATAAAATAATAAAAAAAATAGTTTTAATTTCGGATATGATTTTTAACCAATCTCGTCACGCCACGTGTCATTATCCGAACGTACTATTTTTTTAATAGATTTCCGCTAAGATTTTCAACCAATCCCGACAACCCACGTGTCACTTCCTGTTTACAATAATTTAGGCAAGATTTCGATAAGATTTTTAACCAATCTCGTCACGCCACGTGTCATTATCCGAACGTACTATTTTTTGAATAGATTTCCGCTAAGATTTTCAACCAATCACGTAGTGCCACGTGGCATTGTCCAGAACCTCATCTTCTTTTTTTTTTGTCCATATAAACCCTACATCCCTACATCCATCCTCACACTAAACTCAATCCATTTTTTTAGCTCAGAATTCTTCTTTATCATTTTCAAATCTTGAGTTCTTACAATGTCTTCTTCAAGGAGAAGGTATAAACAGTTGCAAGAGCAGCAGAAAAGGTTGTTGGCACAACAGGAAGAATTGGTCAATCTTGACCAAGGTGGAGGTGGAGATGAGGCCTTCGCAATGGAGGAGGATGACGATGATCACCATAGAAGGCGGAGGGCCTCACATTCCCGCCGTATCATGCAAGCTATGGGTCAGATAGCCAAACCCGGACGTGCGGCAAACATCGATAGAAGAAGGGAAAGACGAGGTAAAGATCTCTTGGAAGATTATTTTATTCCCAACAGCGTTTACCCTGATCATGTTTTTAGACGTCATTTTAGAATGCAACGAAGTTTGTTCGCTAAAATCATGAGTGATGTTTGCAACCATGATCCATATTTTGTGCAAAAAGAGGATGCTTTTCATGTTCTAGGTCTTCTTCCTGAGCAAAAAATTACGGCTGCCTTGCGAATGCTTGCATATGGAGCATCCGCAGATCAAGTGGATGAGATCGCAAGGATGGGAAAAACAACAGTTTTGGAGTCCCTGATGCGGTTTTGCTCTGCAATTGAAGCCCTCTACACCAATGAGTACCTTCGGCAACCCACGCCAAGGGACATGCAAAGGCTTCTTAGGAAGGCTGAGATGCAAGGCTTCCCTGGCATGATTGGAAGCATCGACTGCATGCACTGGACATGGAAAAACTGTCCAAGTGCGTGGCAAGGAGCTTATGGCGACAGAAAAGGAGCCAAAAGCATCATTCTGGAAGCGGTGGCTTCTTTTGATACATGGATTTGGCATGCTTTTTTTGGTGTTCCAGGAGCTCAGAATGACCTAAATGTCCTTGCCCAATCTCCAGTGTTTGACGAACTGCTACAAGGGCGTGGGCCGAGATGCACATATTGGGTTAATGGTACTAAATACGAGGGACCATACTACCTTGCAGATGGTATTTACCCAAGGTGGTCAACATTTGTCAAAACAGTGCCACACCCGCAGAGTGAAAAAGAGAAACACTTCGCAAAGTGTCAAGAAGGGTGTAGGAAGGATGTCGAGCGTTGTTTTGGTATCCTGCAAGCTCGTTGGGCCATTGTCAGGGCTGCAGCTAGAATGTTTGATGTCGAGGCTCTTCGATCCATCATGATGACGTGTATTATTCTCCACAACATGATTGTTGAAGACGAGTATGATTATGATGCCGTCGATGAATACGAGCCGGATCCGATGAACAACTCAAGAACACAAATCTACTATGCTCATGACCGGACCGAAGATCCCGTGCAACACGAGCCGTTGGAACGGGATGGACGTTACAATGAATTGATCGTTCAACGATACACTTCATTGCAAGAGCCATACTGGCACATATCCCGCCAGAATGACTTGATTGAGCATCAGTGGAGCTTGCACGAAGGCGAAGATAATTAAAATAAGGCTTGTGGTTGAAGAATAAAGTGTATTGTTTTTTTAAGTAATCTTATTTAGTGTGTTTGCTTTTTTTTTTTTTTAAGTTTAAATGGTGAGGTTATGTAATTTTAAGTTTAAATGGTGTTTTAAGTTTAAATGGTGTTTTATGTAATTTTATTTGGTGTTTTAAGTTTAAATGGTTTTTTTTTAAGTTTAAATGGTGAGGTTATGTAATTTTAATTTTAAATTAAATAAAGTTCTAAAAATAAATAAGAAATTACATAAGAAATTAAATAAAGTTCTAAAAATAAATAAGAAATTACATAACAAATTAAATAAAGTTCTAAAAATAAATAAGAAATTACATAAGAAATTAAATAAAGTTCTAAAAATAAATAAGAAATTACATAAGAAATTAAATAAAGTTCTAAAAATAAATAAGAAATTACATAACAAATTAAATAAAGTTCTAAAAATAAATAAGAAATTACATAACAAATTAAATAAAGTTCTAAAAATAAATAAGAAATTACATAAGAAATTAAATAAAGTCTGTGGAGTTAGGATATGTGGTGCTAGGATCTTGGTTGCTAGGATTTCTGTAGCTGGAACCCCCTTGACTTGTTTCGGCATCTCTTGCACGCCTCCTTCGCACGACATCTCTTTTTTCTGATGTCCAAAAATATTTTGAATTCGGAGACAGTCCTACTAGAGACTTGTTCATAGTGTCACGATCTGTTTGAGCCATCCTTTCTTCTCTAAGCATCTCATTCTCTCGATGAAGTGCTTCTCTAATCATCTCGTTCTCTCGATTAACTATTTCTCTTTGTCTCTCAGCCGCCGCATCACGAGCCTCAT